AAATAATAAGCTCAGAGCACCATTATTTTCCAACCCAAAAACCTCCCACAAAATCCAAATGAAAACGAAAGATATACGTGAGAGAGAGAGAGATTAGGTGGGGGTAAGGCCAAACCCCTAACCTATATATAAAATACCCTAAGTGGGTCGAAAAGTCATAAAACTACAAGTCCAATGTCTGATATACATACAGTCAAACGAAAAACAAAAAAAAAACAACAAAGGAAAGAAAAATACAGAAAAGCTGACAACTACAGCTAGAAATATGAAAATAACAGATCATGTTCCGGGGGGTAGGGGGTCCCGGCTAGAAAGTCAGCATCACAGTGTGGCGGGTGCGCCAAAATGTAGGTCCGGCTACGCAAATCTGAATGAAGGATATCCCATCTGGTCCATCCGTATGAGGGTGCAGAGACGGACAGGAATATCGTCAGGGTAAAGAATGCGCCTATGAGGGGTGGAGGACCCCATGCCAGCGAGGAAGTCAGCTGGCCGGTTCCCCTCGCGGAAGATGTGCGAGATCCTGGAGCGAATCAACTGGAGAGTGGCTCTGATGCGCATGAGGGGATGCTGGATCTGCCACGTGCCCTGGTGTCCAGATGACAGAAGAATGATGACAGCGGCCGCATCCAACTCTATCCAAATGTGAGAGGAGATCGAGGCGGCAATCTGCAGACCAATCTGGAGCGCTTGAACCTCTGCGTCATAGCTCGAGGAGGCCCGAAGAGGGGAATGAAACGCGGCAATAGGGGCGCCGCTATGATCCCTAATCAGGCCCCCACCTCCTGCAGCTCCAGTATGTCGATCAAAGGCTCCAACAGTGTTTAAGTTAACCCAAGGCGACTCGGGTTTCAGCCAAACAACAGCTCTGGGACGTGGATGCTGGACAGGCACCAGCGGAGGTGGTGTAAGGCGGTGAGGTGGCGTGCAGCCTGCCCAGTCTCTCTGGGTGAGTCCACCCAAAGAGGTGAGGAGCGAGAGATGTCGGTCAACCTGCAAAATAATATGGGAAGACAAAAAAGAGTTATCCCTATGCTTCGCGTTATTCCTTTTTGTCCACGTGGCCCAAAGTATCAGACAAGGAATAAGGAAGCTCACGTGTCTAATGTGTGTGCGGTGTCTGAAAAAACTCAAAAGCTCAAAGAATGTATCTGTGGAGGGTAGGGGGGTATGAGTGTAACTGGTATAATGCTCTCACACTCTCCTCACAGTCTCGCTCTCTAAAAACAGGTGGGTAAAGGTCTCTGTCTGAAAATCGCCAGACTCGGCACAATAGTAGCAATGCGAGGGGAAGGAGAACCCTCTCGTCTGTATCACAGGCGCCAAAGGAAAACAGATATGGTAGGGGTAAGTAGGTCGGTCCAGATGGCCCCGAAGAGAAGGTTAAGCCGGTCACCCTGCCGTACTTCCCCCCAAGCCGAGGTAGTAGAGAATGCACTCGAAGATGTAAGCCTCCACCTCATACCGTCCAAACAGTCCTCCGAGATGGAAATCTGTTGGATCTCATCTATCACCTAATCACTAAAGCCCGCTCCAGTACCCAGAATCCTCTCTAGCCTATCCCTATCCCATCTCCTCTCCGTCCACAGGTCCTTCACCTGTAAAAACGGAAGATGGGTGACATGTCTAGTGCTCGAAAGGGGACCCTCACCGAACCACCACTCATCCCAAAAGGTAACCTCCCCATCCCCCAAAGACCAAAAAATGTGCTCCTGATCACGTCTACCCACCATGGTGATCCGCCTCCACTGCCTGCTATCACGGGCGGTAGCCGTCACCCTACAGGGATGGGCAGCTCCTCCAGGAAAGTACTTCCGGCGAAGATACTGAACCCAAAGTGACTTACCCTCCCTAAATCGCCACCACATTTTGTCAGTGACGACATCCAAGAAACGCCGGATCCCGAGACCCCCCTCAGATAAAGGGCCAAACAGAGTCCCACTTCACCCAGTGGACCTGTCTCCCTCTCCGAGAGCCCTCCCCATGCCCCCAAAAGTAACAGGCCAGACTCTGATCTAGCTCGTGGATAGTAGACTGGTGGGGATCAAGGACCGTAAGGAGGTGAAGCGGCAGGGTGCTGAGGGTGCTCTTGATCAGAGCAAGTCGGCCCCCAAAGGATAGGTGTCTGTGAGACCAACCGGAGATCCGATTAATCATCCTCTGTCTAACATCCGAAAAGAGCTCATGCGTGACGTGGCCCTTGTACAGGAGAGCACCACGGTAGTGATAGGAAGGTCTCCGCGCGCGAAGCCAGTGCGCTCGTGGACCCAATGGTCCCATTGGTCCACAATATGCTGATCAAGGATGAAGGTGCTCTTTTGCACACTGACAAGCTGACCGAATACCGAGCTATAATGCCCCAAGAGGTGCATGAGCTCAGTTAGTCCATTATTATCCGCACGAGTGAAGATAATAATGTCATCCGCATAAGATAGGTGCGAGATGGGAGGACCGTACCCGCGCGTGCTATAGGTCATCCTCGGGAAGTCTCAAATGAAGCCGTCAAGGCAACGAGACAGGTAATCCGCTGCCAGGACAAAAAGAGAAGGAGATAGAGGATCTCCCTGCCGAAGACCCCCAGTGGAAGGAAAGAAGTCAGTAGGGCTACCGTTAAGCAGAACCGAGAACGTGCAGTGCTCCACGCACACCTTCACAAAATCAATCCAACGTTCGGGGAAGCCCATCCGAAACATAACCTCCTTGAGGAACGGCCATTCGACCCTGTCATATGCCTTAGTCATATATAGTTTTAGCACAAGGTTCGGGGCTCGTAACCGGTTCGCATGGGAGATGTCATGGATCATCTCCTGGGCCAAAAGGATGTTATCACTGATGACTCGATCCTTGATGAATCCACTCTGGTTCGGAGAGACTAGGGAAGGGAGGAGGGGAGCTAGACGACCATTAAGGATCTTGGAGATGATCTTGTTGGTCACATTACAAAGGCTGATGGGTCTATAGTCGGACCAAGAACTCGGACTAGGTCTCTTAGGTATCAATACAATAGAGGTGAAGGACTTCGGCATCTGGTGACCCGAGAAGAAATCCACCACAGCTTCCTCAATGTCAGTCTCCACAATCTCCCAGCAGGCCTGAAAGAAGAGAGACGAGAAGCCATCCGGGCCAGAGACACTGATGGGATCAATCCCAAAAACAGCCTCCCTGATCTCCTCCCTACTCCGGAGGTCGCAGAGGTCAACAGGGTCAACCGACTGCGAGATGGTGGGGAAAATGGAAGCGTCGGGGGGCGTAAGCCAGTCGCGATCTGAGGTGAAGAGAGACTGGAAGTGTGACACAGCCGACTCTCGTATCTCGAACTCCTGAGTCAAGGAAGACCCGTTATCCTCAATACAATGGATATACGACTTAATCCGCTTCTGCCTCACAAACCCCTGAAAGTACTTGGTATTACGTTCCCCCTCCGCAACCCACCGAACTGCAGCCTTCTGCTTCTAGAAATCCTCCTCCATAAGGAAGCAGAGCTGGTACTCAGCATGGCAGCGACGCATCGCGGTCCTATTTTCTGGTGTCGAATCCAAATCATAAGCTCGCTCAGCAACCGCATACGCATTCTGAGCTGCAGCAAGGCGCTGAGAAATGTCTCCAAATACCGTCCAATTCCACTGCTTCAAACTGCGCCTCAATCTATCAAGCTTCGCCTCCAGGTTTCCCATCCCAAAAAGCCCCGTCGGATGGTGCCAACAAGCCCTAACCGTGTCATGGAACATGAGGGTCCACATGTTCTGGAACCTAAAGGAGGAGAGCGACGTGGGGTGCTCGAAAACCGGCACCAGATAATAAGGGGAGCGTGGTCAGATTTAATTCGAGGGATGTGTGTGACGGTCGTAACCGCAAACACCCTCGTCCATGCCTCAGAGATCAAAGCACGGTCAAGCCTCTCCTTAACTCCGGTCCTCTCCCACGTGAATGGCGAGCCTTCGTATCCAGCGTCAATTAACTCGCAATCCGCCACAGCCTGGGAGAAATCTAAGATCTCCGCAGAGCGGTTCGACTGGCCACCAATGCACTCATCGGGATGAAGAAAGATGTTGAAATCACCGCTAACCATCCACGGTGATCCCTCCATATTCTCAGCAATCTCACGCATGGTGTCCCACAGATCATATCGACCAACCCTCGCACAGCTGGCATAGACCAGAGTGTGAAAGATTGGTTCCGGGAGGTGAGCAGCAGAGAGTTCAACATGCAGGACCTGTTCCGTGTCACGGATAATCCGACATGTAAAGTCTCGCGAATAAAAGAACCAAATCTTGTTAGATATGTTTCCCACGCCGGAGTGGAAACCAAGGTGTCGAGAATATAAGAACTCAGGGGTTATGGGTCATGCGCTCTAGATATGTTGTTGATAGGCTGTCATAAACTCTCACATGATCTGTAAAATTCAATTATGTATGTGCCAATCGTTAGTCATAAATTCTTGTATGATGTTAAAGG